TTACGCTATATCTCAAAAACGTACTAAGTAAACGGGATCAGGTACTCTAAGTAAAAATGGTCATGAATCTTGAAAGCTTATGTTAGCTAAAGGAAAAATAAAAGCGCTATGATGAGTGTTTGAAGATATTAAAAAATTCATGTAAGATACTGTTATATTTTCAGTTGAAGATGCAATTTGAAACGTATAATAATATCATCTGATGCGCTTTCAAAAGAGTTTCCCAAATTTTCCAAAGGTTTCTAAATCATGTACAGGTAATAAATAAATAATATACAAATATATTAACATTATAGGCTGATTTAATATTTTATTATAGAGTAATCAACGATTTGATAATTCTTTGGCTAAATGGTCAATTTATTCACCAAAAATAAAAGTCATCAAGAAAATAGACATAATTACTGTCATTATACAAGAAACTATCATGAAGTTGTTCTTGTCGTAGAAACAATTCATTATGTACAGGAATATGTTTGCTGTTTTATGAGACCCGTGTAAAAATTGTTAATTTTTTTTTTAAATTCCTTTTACGAAATTTTATTTGACAAAATTTAAGTAATCAAAATGCAAATTTAAATTTGTAATATTTACGTTTAATAAATTTCACCTTGCAAAGTAACGTACATTATTTATCAGTTCTTCTAATGTTGCTTCGATTCTTTAAGATTTTTAAAATCATATATGTTTTGAATATCAATCTCAAATGTTCGCCTATAATTTATAATTTATTAGAATATATCCTTATCCTAAGAAAAAATTATTCTGCATTCGATCTTGATCTAATTACGTACCTACGTAATGAATGAGCATCTTGCTTTCGAGCCAATTCAGCAGTTATAAAGATTTCGATCTCCTATGATGATATATCGGCAATCTTGATTGATGTCATCGTAGCTATTAAAGAATATCGCCTTCGTTGATACCATGAATTTTCAATATTGCTAATCCACCATCGGAGGAAATAGACATATTCAGAGTTCTTATGTAGTGTATTGTTGAGATCTGTTATATCTAAACATTAAAATAATACGAAATTAGTGTAGAATTAAATAAATTCAATTATTCAATAAATTTGAAAAAAATTTCACCCTAAAGGAGACTTTAATTGTAGTGCGCTTGTCCGTGTAGCTATTTTGGATTTATTATTGCTAAACAGAAGGCCTTATTAACAGTTTTGTGCAACGATTTGTGCATTAGCAATTGTCGCATCCTTTTATTGTCTTATCTATTCTTGACATGATAAATAAGACAACAAAAGTAAGTGACAATTGCCAATGAACAAACCGTTGCACAACTCTGACTTATTAGGTAAATAACGTTATAAATAAATGCTATTTTTAAAAGCAATCCTAAAACTCTTCAAACCATAATTTTTTATTAACGATTCTAAAAGTATTACATGAAATCACAGGACAAATTTAAGCAAGGTATTGGACCCCTCACAGCAAAAGGGGGCATTGGGACAAAAAATTTTTTTTTATTTTAATTGATTTCTTGAAGAATTAGATTAATAGGAATGCAATTTTTATAAAATTACAAAATCAAAATTTTTATCCCAATGCACCCTTTTGCCGTGGGGTCCCCATATGTAGAATGTATCGTATTACTTTATACTATAGTTATTTCCAAGCTAGAATTTATGAAAAATGAAAACAATTGTAGAATCTATATTAGAAATGCGTTATTACCTAGTGTTGAAATTTGTTGTGCATGTATTGTTATTTACACAAAATTAAACAATGGGCTAAAAATTAGAATAACATTTATGTATAAAAAATTTTTTTTGCACAGCATATTTGTGCCGAATTTTCAACACTACTGTAAGTATTGGTTTGGGCGCAGCGTATAATAAATGCTCCAGCCGCTACTGGAAATTATATGGATTGAATGATACAAGGTTTCAAATGAGCGTAGTGGTTCAGTAAGGGCTACTAATGATGATGAAGACTTAAAGAAAGAAGATCATTATGACTATGCTATTTTACAATGAAACTGGTTCTCCTCCTTATTAAAAATAGATGCATCACATTTTGATTAGTATGAAGGAACACACTTTATGAAACCTGCTATATTACATTAGAAGGATCACACTTTAACAATTACACCGAAATTGAAAAAAGTCATAAAACTAATTCGTTACACTACTTTTGTCTATGTAGTTAATTAAAAAAATGTTACTTTTACTAAGCTAAATTTTATCAACCATCTAATATCTATTTTTACATAGTTAAAAAAATAACAGTCTATCTTTGTAATACAAATTATATAGGTTTTATAATATAATATTCAGGTATTACTGTATTTCTTTTTAAATTGAAAATCTTTCATTTCGCATAGTTTAAAAATTACTGTAATTTTTAATGTGTAATGCATATATAGTTACGTATTAAAGAAGGATATTCCGTTAGCTTGTTACTTTTTATAGTTCTCATACATATTCTTATAAAATGTATAGAATAACACAAATTAGGTAATTAGCAATTGGTTTACACCAACCAGTCTACTTATATGAATCCGCTTCACAAAATGACTTTAAAAGATATGAGCTAATTTAAATAAAGTATAAATTGTAACACTAATAGGGTGATAAGCAGTATCGACACCATAGTTGAAAAGCATCGTGCATATATTTTTATTAGTTAGAATCATATTTGACAATTAATTCATAGACAAGTTTATTTTTTTCAAACAATCATAATTCATGAATTTCCGATCATCCTACGCACACACTACATTTTCGATCACCCTTTACATTAATTAATTACGTCACCGTCATTCATGTGACATATAATTCAGGATAAGTCTGCAAATATCCGTACAGAACGTACGTACGTATATCTTTTGGACCTGAGCGTTGTCATTTATCATATGGGTTCAGTATTAATCGGTTAACACCTAATATAAATTCCGACTAAAAGTCACCTATTAAAATTTACGAAATCTCAAAAAATGCCAACTTCTTGTATAAGATCAAAGTAAAAGTTTTTGAGATTTAGGAAATGCTAAGTATCAATAAGTGATTAGGATTTTTATTTAAGTTCATAACGATTTTCAAACAATTAAATTAGATTTAAGCTAAACGTAAAAGTACTTTAAAAAAATGTAGTAACCAAAATAATCATCTAAATTTAAATGCAACTCGTTTATAAGAATCTAAGATAATGAACTTACAGTAAAATAAAATATATCATAGAGTGACGCCAAGGGAAAATGAGTATTTGGTTTATCATTTATTATTTATCAATTATAAACCTTTCCTTATATAAGACAATTTGATTCTCGTTAAATTATTTCTATAAATGTTACCTTGCAAAAAATAAACAAATAAAAAATAACCAGAAAATTTTTTATAGTTAGTAATATACTAGATTAGACTATAATGTCCTTAATGTGCATGTAAACACGGGACGGGTTGAGTTCCAAGTTTGACTTCAGGCCGAACTTTGATGAAAATTCGATTTTTGGAGTCGAGTCGGATTTTCTCATCCGTTTATTACTTAAAGCGGATAGCAATGTTTCACGGATTTACTTATTCGACAATTAATTATTTTTTTACAAACAATAAAATTCATATATAAAGTGCGCCAGACCAGAGTGAAACTTATAATAGTAAATCATTATATGCAGCTACAAGTTTTCACTCTCACGCACTCATATAAGACAGTACGTACGTGCTAAAAAATTTTTAAACATTTAAAAAATCGATATGATTACATTACCGAACGAATGTTACAATGAAATATTTATTAATCTCTCGCATGATCATAAAAACTTATTTTCATGTGCTCTTGTAAACCGTCAGTGGTGTAGAACAGTTATACCAATATTATGGGATGATCCAAAGCATCATTATAATGATAAAAGACTTATAAGAATATTCTTATTAACATTAAACGCAGAAGAACAATCTCTATTAATTCCTTTTAACATTACCCTTCCAAATCACCCAAAACCACTATTCGAATACACAAGTTATATCACATCAGTTAACAACTATTTGTATAATGGAATTAGAAATTGGTTTAATTATGAAGAATGTACAAAATTTAATTTTGGATTAAAGCTTGAAAATGCCGTCAAATGTTCTTTGATTACGATGTTTTTACGAACTAGTAAGAACCTTAAACATTTAAGCCTTGACGAAATTATTTGCGATCAAATAATATTTGAAAGTCTTTATGAGAATACTACTATTACCACAATGGATTTACTTAATATCCGTAGTGATTTAAAATTTAAGGCAATAAATGCATTAGTAAAGATTCTTGATAATGATTCTACTTTGACTTCTTCAGATCTTCGTAATAATCATATTGATGGTGAAGAGGGGAAGATGTTAACAAAGTCTCTTTGCAAGAACATTACGTTGACTTCCTTAAACCTTGAATGTAATGATCTCGGATCAGATGATGGAAAAATATTGGCAAATGCACTTTCCAAGAATTCCACGATAAAATATTTGAATCTTAGTTATAATAATCTTGGATCAGAAGGGGGAAAGGCATTAGCTGATGCACTTTGCAAGAATGTCACGCTAGAAGATTTGAACCTTACTTATAATAATCTCGGATCAGAGGGGGGAAAGGTATTAGCAAATGCACTTTGCAAGAATACCATGTTAAAAAATTTAGATCTTTATGATAATAATCTCGGATCAGAAGGGGGAAAGGCATTAGCAGATTCACTTTGCGAGAATACCACGCTAAAAATTTTGAATCTTAGTTATAATAATCTCGGATCAGAAGAAGGACAAGCTTTTGCAGATGCACTTTGCAAGAATTCCACGCTAAAAGATTTGAATCTTACTTATAATAATCTCGGATCAAAAGGTGGAAAGGCATTAGCAGGTGCACTTTACAAGAATACTATGTTAACTTCATTAGATATCACTAGTAATATTCTTGGATCAAACGGAGGAGTAGCATTAGCAAATGCACTTTGCAATAATTCCACATTAACTTTCTTAAATCTTTATGATAATAATCTTGGATTACAAGGAGGAAAGTCATTAGCAGATGCACTTTGCAAAAATGTCACGCTAAAAGATTTGAACCTCACTTATAATAATCTCGGACCAGAAGGAGGAAAAGCATTTGCAAATGCACTGTGCAATAATACTACATTGACTTCTTTGAATCTTTGGGATAATAATCTTGGATCAGAAGGTGGAAAAGCATTAGCATGTGCACTTTGCAAGAACACCTCATTGATTTCTTTGAATCTTCAATGTAATAAATTCGGATCAGAAGGTGGAAAGGCAATAGTTGATTCACTCTGCAAGAACACTACACTAAAAGATTTGAATCTTAGTTTTAATAAACTCGGACCAGAAGTTGGAAAATCATTAGCAAATGCACTCAGCAATAACACCGCGCTAACTTCTTTGGATTTTCGTAATAATTCAATTGGTTCCAAGAGTGGTAAAGCATTAGCAAATGCACTTTGCAAGAATACCACACTGACTTATTTAAATTTTCAATTCAATGATCTTGGATCAGAAGTAGTAGAGGCCTTAAAAGAATCTTTTTGCAAGAACTCTACCCTGACATTGCATCTTTGATATAATAACTTTTAGTAGAAAGAAAAGCATTAGTAGACATACTTGGCAATAATACCACCCTAATTTCGTTGTGTTTGAAAGTAATAAATTTGATCAAGATATCAGATGCACTCTACAAAAACATTACTCTGACATCTTTAGATCTTAGTTGAAATAATCTTGAATTAAAAAGAGCATTAGTGAATGCATTTGCAAAAACAATACCTTGAATATTTTATTTTTGTTAGTAATAACTGTTATCGATGTAAACGTAAAGCAATGAAATTAGTAGCTTATTATGTAATAAAAGTAATTAACCTTAAATATTTTAAACGGGTTAATTCAAACAAAACCAATAAATCTTTTTTTAAAATTATTGTGAACATTAAAAAATATGCTATTAAAAATAATAATACTAATTTCTAAAGATTCTTGTTTATAAAAATTTTTATGGTTTTTTTTAAAATCATACTTTCATAAATTTTGAATGAATAAATCTTTACTCCGCCCTTTAAGAAATTTTACATGTGATAGCACATGGCTGCATGAAATATAGCACGTCCAAAGGAAATCAAATCAGTTGTATACAAGTAAAATTCGACGAACACGTAATTACACGAAATTTTTTCATGTGTACGAAATGATAAACGGCTCATATGTAACTATACGAAAAATTGCACGGGGAAGCACGCTATTACGTGCACTGTTACGCGGAATTCGCGTCTTTTTACGTGCATTGTTGCGCGGAATGTCTTTTTACGTGTCCAGTGCGTAAAACATACATTTTTGGTACCGATCGACGTGCATATCCCGGTAAAAATAAGAAGTTTCAAGCCTTTGAGTGAAGATTCTCGACAACTATCTGACCAAATTCGATAAAACGTTTTTTATTTGAATTCTATGTGCTCATAGAATTCAAATAAAAAAATTTTCTTCGGATTTAGTCAATGGCTATCGAGTTCAAATATAGAGAAAAATCAAAACGCTCATCAAAATAGAAGCTGCGTAACATTTTTTTTTTATCCAACTTTGAACGAAAATATTTCGACAATCATCTGATCAAATCCGTTAAACCTTTTTTATTCGAATTCCATTGATCCATAGAATTCAAATAAAAAAAATTCTACCAAATTTAGTTAAGTGGGTGTCATTCAAAGTTAAAGAAAAATCAAATGTTTAAGCTGCGCCAAATTTTATCTCCAACTTAGAGAGAGGACATCTCGACAACCATCTAATAAAATTCGATAACCCTTTTTTATTGAATTCTATTGATCCATATAATTTGAATGAAAAAAATTTCATCGAATTTGGTCAGATAGTTGTCAAAATATCTTCTCTTAAAATTAGAGAAAAAATTTGCAGTGTTACGGGGTGAATCGTATCCCTTTAATAAGGTTTACACGAAAATATATAATTTAGGTGATAAGGCAACTTGCCAGAGGCGTGACAATGGTGATTTGACAAATAATTTAATTTTAAAGATTTATTAAGGTGATTGATTCAATATATTATAAAAGGAATATTGGAACCCCGTAGGATATAAAGCAATGTTTTCAAGAGCGAAATCTCAATGTTTTTATAGCTTTGACTACACTAATAAATTCAAGGGGCTACAATGAGAATTACAACATGATAAAGAAGGCTTTGCTTTGTTTCTGCAATATTCATATTGCAGCCACTTCTAACTTCAATCTTGATTTTCGGTCTTCTTTCTTCTCTTGTTCTTCGGTTCTTACGTTGGTTTGTTTATCTTATTCGGCTGATAAGCCTCAGCCGATAAACCAGTATTTCTTGTCTTGATTGCTCTTCGATCACGGGTTTACTATGCCTAATTTCGAAGATCTACCTTTTAGCCCGTGACAGCAGCTACTATTTTGATAGGCGTTTTGATTTTTCTCTAACTTTGAGCGAATATATCTCGACAACCACTTGACTAAATTCGATGAAATTTCATTATTTGAATTCTAAGAATCAATAGACGTTAATAAAAAAAGTTTTATTGAATTTAGTCAGATGGTTGTCAAAATATCTTTGCTCAAATTTTGAAATTTTTTTACTAGAATCTGCACGTCGATCAGTATCTCCCATATAGTTCCGTATACTTTCGTGCTGTCACGTACCCGTGACCATAAATTCTGTGTACCATTTTTATAGGGCCGTTTATTTTTAAATATTTATTCATTTGGTATAACCATGTAAGAAATTATATACTACATTTTCAGTCACAAGTATGTAATGGTTTAATATCACATGTTTATGAAAATATAGCAACATGCTATGCAAATTTTAATGGACAACCAACAAGAAAAAAAATTTGATATTTTTATAGAATGGCAGAATAATGAAAATATTTTATCAGAATTATCTGAACCGAAATATCAAAATATTTAAAATAAGCATGAAATATATATTGAATTACATTATAAAGCAATCTTATTTCATTTAATAGAATTATATACATCGAGGTAACTATAAATTATTCTAATAAACTAGTAATAAACGGCTTATGTATTCAGCTCTGTATTTTTTCGTTTAAAAAAAAAGAATTCCAAAGTTAGCGCTGTAAATTATATTATTATAAATTATATAATATAATAAAACATAATCATTAATATCTATATTATAGAATGTATTAATTTTATGTATATTTTTATAAGTTTATATGTTTGTACATGGACATAAGCTTAATTTAATAATTCATAAAATTATAAAAAAACCAGCCTTTAAACTAATCTTTATTATTCACATGGAGTTTTCTTTGATTCTTATATTACAAATAGTAAGGCAATATGATTTATAAACCGTATTTTATTTTCGAACAGAAAATTCTTCGTGAAAATTTAATATGTTATATATTCAAATATTAAATTCTAATCCCAAAGAACTGTTAGAATGATTATTCGATTATTGCGCTACACCTTATAATTAGCTAAATTCACATTACTGTCTTCATTTGCGCACTACGATCTTCCTCAATATTTCGTGTATTATGCAAAGGAAGCTTGAGGAAGATGTAGATTGTTCACTTCATTCCGTCATTACAATTGATTATATATTGTAAAAAAAAAAAAGTCTAAATCTAATCAGTCATTTATAATGGGTCTAACATCCAATAAAGAATAAAAAAAGGTTGATGAATAAAACAAAAAAAGATTGATTCAAGTATAATTTTTTAAAAAAAGAACTTCTTAAATTTATTATCTTTATTTATGTCATTAATAAATAAGAAAGTATATACTGGAATATCTCAATTATTTGTAAAGACCCTAATATGTCAATTGACAGTCAACATAAATTGAAAAGTGGCCTTAACATGTATACTTAATTAGTTAAATTGATACCACTTGTAAACTTCTTTATTTGATGTAGATAGAACCAGTCCCGCATAATTGTTAGTCTTTAAGATGAATGTAGGGAATACAGTATCATCTTTTTAAGCTACTATACGATTATTATATAACTTTATTTATTGTCAAGTAGAATCGTATTCTCGTTAATATACTGCCATTTGAGTTGTTTTCTGTTCTTAAGTATCATTAAAGCTAATATTTTTCTCCTATCATCATTTCCTGCAATCTTTATTCAAGAATATAGATTCTATATGCATTTTTAGAATGCTTTAATACAACAAATTATTAATTAATCTACTTTTTAAATTAGTATTTATTGGTTGGTTTTTTTTTTTTAATAATGGGATTTCTGATTATTTTAAATTTCTGCAAGGTATAAAAATAAATTTTGTTTGATAAAATTTATTGAATGCATAAAATCATTATTAACAAGAATTTATTTGTCATCGTTACATATAAAATAGTCTATTATAAAAAACCATTAAGGTTTTGCACTAATTGATCAGTGACTAACCGAATAGGCAGTCGGTTATTTAACCATGTGAATGACCGATCAAATGGTCAAAGGCAAATATTCTTCTTCCTGTCTCTTCAGAATAAGAATTAACGATGTAAACTATTCAACTTATATTGCTTAATGATGGACAAGGCTAAACTGCATTGTACTTAAAACTCGTCATGACAATAAATACGTAATGTAAAAGAGATTCCTTTTTGATAAACTATGTAAAATATGTTATTTAGTAAATACTATTTTTTTATATTCGCATTAATAATTGTTTTTCATTTTTATTATTTGCAATTATACATTAAAATTGATTATATAAACCAATTCAGTTTAAAAAATCTGACGCTAAAATTATTTTATTATCAAATGAATCTCTATATATTAACTGTGCCATTTTGATAGCAAAGCAACACATAATGTGTACATCTATTTTTTATCTTTCATTTAAACATTTATAAATATTTTCAAATGAAAGAGAGATAGTGATCAAATGATCATTATATTGGTTTCGTCCAGCTTTCCATTTTAGTCCTAAATCAGAAAATCTTATAATTAAATGATCTCCAATGTAGTTTACCATATTATTTAAAATAACAAGAGCTTTAGAGTACGTAAATTTTGATGAACAAGACGTTTGTAAATCTTGTAAATCATAATAATGTCTATCAGCTGACGTATCTTTAATTATATGAATATAATCATCCTTAATTTCTAATTTGATATTAGTTATAAGATAATTGCAACAACTAATGATCAATTCTTCAAACATCGATATAAGGTTATTAAAATTAGTTCTAATAGTTTCTAAAACTGATGAACAAATTACCGTCGGTCTATTAAAAGGGATTTGAAAGTAATCAAGTTCTTCTTCAAGTTGTTTCCAAGTAACTCTTCCAGATTCTGTGGACCAGTTAAGCTTCCCAGTTCGATAGAATTCCATTATATAATAAAATGCTTCACTATTACGATCAAAAAAGTACTCATTTCCATTAATTGGATGTCTCATGCATTTATTCCGATCTTGAAACATTGTTCCGAGTAAGGTTTTTGGCTGTGCCGTGAGAGTTGATTGAAAGGTTTCATACTATATAAAAAGTACGAAAGTTACATACATATAAATACTACGTAAATAAAATTATTCGAAAATTTTTATTATACTTTATACAGTACCTTTTTGCCTCCAACATTTAA